GGGAAAGAGAAAAGTTCAGGCGTCTTAAAAGGTGAGCATCTACTCCAGAATCAGAAAGGGCACTGAGGAAGCACAGCCAATGCTAAAGTCAAGCTAGATGGGAGGTTTTCCACCTAAAACACAGTCTTCCTCTTTGGAAGATTGAAGGAGATCATTCAAAATCTGGTATCTTGGCTTTAGCACTGGAACCTGGCAATGTTAATAGAGCAAAGGCTTGGGAAGCCAGTGTCACCTCCCTGCATGGTGGATGCAGCATCATGATACTTTAATATTTGGGAGTGGTAAGGAGGCAAGACAATGCAAGAGCATTCCTTTGGGCATGGTGTAATCACCATTATGCTTCCACTAGAAGAGTGGTGCTCTACTGGCACATTTTACAAGCTACAATGTTCAACTGTCTTGAGTGTGAGAGCCCAGTCTCTCTGGATAGAGATGAAAGTCTTTGTTCACAAGACCCTGAGCTACACTCCCCTCTACACTGTGAGGGGATCACCTTGGCATCCCTATGTAACCAATGCCTTTATCCACTACTGCACAAGAGAGTCTTCGCCACAGTTGGATTTAGGGGAGTGAATTCACTGCATCTTGCAGACAAACTAGTTTTACCTACGTGCCACGTGCGTGTTAGGATGCTGTCCAGTCTGTGAAACTGGTCATTGGTTCTTTGCTCTTGTCTCTGTTCAGCTGGACCCATCCAACCATCTGTGCAGTTTTTCAACCACCTGCCTAATTATAGGGAAATACTTCATGGACCAGCTCAGTAACCTCTTCAGTTCAAAGAGCACTGAATCAAGAAATACAACTTCTCCCAGCATACTCATGGCTCCAACTCAGCCTCCTGACAGTTACTGGCTACCCTATACAAGTGGCTCCAGCTCCAGGTGTTTTTCTAAGCCACATTGTGAGTCTGCATGATACCTGCTGCCAAATGGGAAGGCCTCCATCCTTCCACATGTCCCTGCTGAATCCATCATGCTGGCAGCAGTTGTCAGCTGCCCCCACAGGGAAACAGCTCAGGAGTCTAAACCTGGAGACTGAACTGAGTGCCCTGGAGCCCACCCTACCCCTTCCGCAGTAGGAGCAGCTAAGCATGGTCCTGCTGCAAACTGGATGGGGGACCTGAGCCAGCTAAACATCACCTCTTTGCACCTAATTGAGTTAGTGTTTGGAGAGAACAAGGATAAAACAAGCCATTGGCTATGTGGTTACTTCCAGTGACTCCTTATCCTAGCAGTCTGCTGAACTAACAGGACCTCTGTGCCCTGCCCCCAAAGCTGAAAATACAGGGCTGCACAAGGAAGAGGCTCCCCTCTACACTAATAATTTTTTTGGAAATTAGATTCAGACAGCATGTTACAGAGTGTAACAGGTTAAGCAGCAGCGGGCAAGAACACTAATAACCGAGCCCAGCAAGCCACACCTCCATGCACCACCAGGACGCATTTACCTGCATTAAAGACATGGACATCAATCTGCCGCAGAGTCTCATAGTCTTCTCCAGAACAATATCCACCAAAGGAATAGACCTTGTGCCCGACGGCCACAGCTGCGTGGTTCACCCTCCGTGGCCCACCTTCCAAGTGCACTGCCCACCGTAGCATTCCTCCCTGCAAGACAGGCAGTCTTCAGGGCCCCCAGTGCCACAGCCGCATGCTTCCTGGGCCACCACGATGTCACCTGGCTCTGTAACAGAGACAGAACGCTAAAATAACACAATCCATCTCGCAGGTCTTCCTACCTTCCTTGAATGCCAACTACAAAGGTCACATTGCTGTACCCTCACTCATCTGCCTCCCAACTGGAGGTGGTTTTACTCTCCCCTTGGGAAGGAGACACAAGGCAGGTACTGTAACCTGAGCAAAGCTCAGAAGAGCAAGCAGAGATGCCTTTGCATACAAAAAAACCTCAGGGCAGCTGTACAGGCAGCTCAAGCCAAGTACCTTTGGCAAAGGCGGCAGAGTGCTGTGTGCCCGGCCGTGCCCTGGTCATGTACACTTCATGTACACGCCAGAACAATTTGTCCACATGAATGAAAACACACAGCAAGAGCCAATTGTGAAGGTGAAAAGAACAGAGGCAGAGGGAAGAGAGCGTGCTCTTTGGGTCGGTTGTGAGAAACAGCAGAGGAAAATATTTAAAAAAATATAAAAAAAAAACCACAAACACCGAAAGAACCACCCACATAAAGCAACTGACTCCTTAATATGACTACAACAACACTGGCATTTGGACTCATTGATTTGAGCATTAAGGTCCAGCTTCATTAAACACAGGAGAATAGAAATCCCTAGTGTGGGGAAAAAGCTCTTTTCTAATGATCAGAATAAGGCCTTTTTCTCTCACAGTAAATCCAGGCATAACTATGAAAATTTTGTACATCACATCTCAGTTAAGAAACTGATACGCTTCACACTTCGAACGGATGGTTTAGATCAGCTCTTAGAAAAGTCACCACAGCTGATTTTTGCAGAGATTCTCCTTTGGATCTAAGGGCACAGTCCCACCCGGGTGCTTCTGAAAAAGTGAGTCAGTTCAATTCTTTAACAGTTTTCCCCCAGCTGAAAAACATCCATTAGAAGAGATGTCAGTGTTTCAAACAGCCTAAAGAAAATTCTTTTTTATTGCCTGGTTCTAGCTTCTTGGAAGAAGACACAATCAGCGCACTTCCATCCAGCACCCAGTTTTAGCATTTGCAGAACACAAATAAATTTGCAGATGCCTTAGAATGAGGACTAAAGTTCCTACACATTTACTTACTACTTATCAAAAGGCAAAAGGAATTCACGAGTACTTGCCTCCTGTTTAGAGTTTCTGAATTAGCTGGAGAGCAGCAAGAACGGGCAGCACCATGCTGCTCTGCTCCACCTGCCTCCCAACCCCAGCCCTTCAGCAAAGCAGAACCACCACTCACAACCAGGCACCTGTATAGCCCACCAGCAGCCAGATCACCACAGCATCTGGCCCGCCTGCACGCTCCCATTTTATCCCCACAT